CGAGGGGGCGGAGACTGGTGTCGGAGGAGGGGCAGGGTGGGAACGCGCTGGAGAACCGGCCGCTGCACAGACAAAAACCCCCGAATGGCTGGAGAGCCTTCTACCGTTCCCAGCCTTGTGGGGCCAAGCACGGATCTGACAGCTCCACGACGCAAGGATATCCGCTGACCCTGCGACACGGAGAGCACTTCCCCGAGACTCCCCGTCCAGCGAATCGGCTCTGTAAGATTGCAACTTTCCAACTTTGCTTTCCCAATCTCTGATCAGAAGACTGCCCCTGCGTTTAGGAGAGGGTGCAAGGGCGATCCGCCTTGTGGATTGATTTGAAAGCATCAACTCAGAAGGCACGTGTGGTTCCCAGTGCCACCCAGACGCTTGTTTTCACGACGACTGGGTTTTTCTGACTTTATTCTTGGGTTTCTCGGTTTAAAAAGAACAAACTGCTTTTGGGGAATGCTGAAAGGCAACTGAAGAAGACTGCAAAAGAAAAGCTCTCGGTTGTCATGGCTGAGGGAGAGAATGAAGTGAGATGGGATGGACTGTGCAGTAGAGATTCGAGTACTAGAGAGACAGCACTGGAACACATAAGGCAGATCGTTTTGAGAAAAACCGAGTACCTTCGCTCAGTGAAAGAGACGCTTTATCGACCTTCAGACGGGCTTTCAAATGCTGTTTCTCTGGATGGGATGAATAAGCTTCTTGCTCATCTGCTTATGCTTTCTAAGAGGTGCCCCTTTAAAGACGTGAGAGAGAGAAGCGGGTTCATTCTGAAGAGCGTCGAGGTAAGAGCATTGTTAGAATAACTAGACGGTGAAATTGGAGTTGCAGTTATTCACGTAGCTTTTGCTTCCAACGGGTAACGGGTTATTGTGTCAGCTCTTAATATGACTTCACTAGGCATTAGAGGGTTTGGTAAAACATTGAATGTTGGGCCCAAATTGAGCAGTGTAAACTAAAAACAGTTTTCAAAAACAGGTAAACAAGAGGTTTTTTTTTTTTGGCGTTGTAGGCAGAAATGGAAAATAATATATATGAAAGTTAATTATAAGTCAAGTCCTTATATTTCTTTTTGTTTGTTGCCAAGTGTAGCCAGTGTACTTTTCACATTGTTACAGTGTTCTGTGTGGAAAGTTTCTCATTGAAAGCCTCTAAAGTAGAAATTTATATTAAATGTTTCATATTTGTTCAAGGTAACTGGCGGATGTCCGAATAGTTTTTTCTGGCTTTTCACAACAAAGGCAGGATTTCATTTTCTAAAAACACCCTAAAACAAAAACTAGAAAACAATAATAAAGCCAGCCTAAGTCACAGAGGACTTAGCATGTTCAGATTGCCTAGTTGGACCCAAAGTTAGGTGTGTAGTAGCTGACACTCAGTACTCTCAGGAGGTTGAGGCAGAAATAATAGTTCCAGGAGTTCAAGACCAGCCTGGCCACGTAATGAGTACCAGGTCAGTACATGGCTACATGGCAAGACCCTGCCTGAAAAATAAAAAATAAATAAAAAGGAAAGTTAGACCCAGATAAGGCAATTGGTAGTCATTTGCTATAAATCCATTGCTGTTCAGTTATTTTCTGTGTTCCCCTAAATTGTTTCTTTTGTGTTTTCACATGTGAACCTACTTAAATTGTAAGTGCAGTAAGGTTTAAAATACTATAATCTGCCATTTTTTCTACTATCCTGTTTTATTGGAAGGAATAGGAGAAATGTTGATAGATATGAAGAATGCTCAGTGATTGTGGATTAAGATGTGGCAGTTTTCTGTAGTGGCTTGAATTTAAAGAATACCAATCATATTGATAAAATGATGATCTTAAAAAGCTAAGATCTTGAAATATTCCTTACAAACACTTTAGAATCGACTATTATAATTCATTTTACCAGCAAGGAATTAATTTTCAATGTATGTACATTCCAACCCTGACATAAGGAGCCGCTTGTTTTAGACCTCCATATAGTTACATTTTTTAATAATGGAGTAATAATTGTGCACATCAAATACTGATATGGGACTACATGAACCATAGTTTTTAAGTTTTTCATCTAGTATTTAGGGGATTTTGACCTTCCCCTTGTTGTTACTCTACTTCACCTTGGTGTCTTTTTGGCCTTTCCTCTTGCTGCTTATTTATATTTGAGTGGGAAAGTAGATAAAGAATTTTTTTTAATATTGAAAATAAAAGTACTCAGGCTCTGGGGAGTACTGTGTCAGAGAACTGCAGCCTAAGTAGTAAGTACATGCATGAGAGGCAGACCTAAGTTCAAATGCTTCCTTATTAATTTACTGCCATGACCTTGGGCAAGTTCCTTGACTTTCCTTGTGTTCAGTTTTCACATCTATGAAATCAGGATAAGAACACAGCTTTTGTGGGAGTTAAATGGCTTGCAAAATGCTGCCATAGCCAGTGAATGCACCAGTCCAATATATAGACAATGTAAAACGTTTTTCCAGCCCAATTTGTTCTGTTAAAGTAATCAGTGTTCTGTACTGTAGTGGCTTCCTATAGATTCACATTTCATTCTCTGTTCTGATCTATTATACTTTATTGCTGCCATTATTATAAGGTACTTGATTTATATTGTTCTGTTAGAGCCCTTCTGAAAAAGGGCTCTAAGTTCTCAATAGTATTGGCTGGGACCTGGAAGCTACTAAATAAATATCCAATGGATAAACAAATTTATTTGCCTTCTTTATGTCTTACATCAGTTAGCTTAGGTGAAATTTCCATTTCATGGAGCATTTTTTCATTCATGCATTTGAGCAACAAATAGTGAACTCCATAGCAAGAACTGGGGACCAGTAGTACAGATTCGGGTATTCTGCTGAAGGCAAACAGGTCATAAAGAAGTAAATGAACATTTAATTTGATCTAGTAAGAGAAGAGTTCCTTGAGGCAAATGCCTTTAAAGGGAGATTTAGTATTCATTCATTCATTCATTCATTCATTCACTTTGAGACAGGGTTTCCTGCTGCAGTCTGCCAGGTGCTAGTATTCTGGACACACACCAGTGCACTTTTCTTATGAACAATTATCCACACAGTAGGATTTTTGTAGGGATCCAGACCTAGAGAATAGTTTGTATAAAGGCCTCAAGGCAAGAGCAAGTAACTGAGTTCTAAGATTTGAGTGAAGTCCAGGCTGGTTATAGTTCATAGTTTGAGGGGAGTGTGAAATTTAAGAGCATATGCTCTGAAGTTAGCTTCAGTACCTTATTATCTGTTCATTTGGCTGTTCGACTCAGTTTCCTTATCTGCACAATGGGGGTGATGCTAATAGTTCTTTATTCACAGTGCTGCTGTAAGAATCAAATGAAATAATGCCTGAAAAGCATGGCACAGTGCCTAGCTCATAAGAAGGACACTGTAATGCTGGAGGTCTTTGTTGTTACCGGCAGGGTCCAGATCTAGAGGAATTGTAGGCAATTTTAAGGAATGTAGACATTATCCCAGAGCAATGGGAAGCCACTGAGTGGTAATGTTGCAAGGATCATTCGGGAAGCAAGCTGGAGAATGTGTTTTCAGGCTCAGGAGTGGATGTGTCATATCAGTTACAAGGTTGTTCTGTGACAAAAACAATAGTGGACCGGGATGTGGTAGAATAATAACAAGGAATTAGAAGCCACAGGATATGATATTTAAATAAATTTAGGAAATGAAGAAAATAAAAGCAAAATTTGTGATTTGAATTACTTAGCAATGGGATCATTCCTGAGACAGAAGACTCGGGGGAAGGGTCCATTTAGGAAAAAAAAAACTTGTTTTGTTTTGTTTTGTTTTTCCTACATACCAAGTGAGAGTAAGCTGTCTCTGAGGCATGTGAAAGGAAGTTGCTCTTCAGTAGATTTGTGTCTCTGCCCCCACCCCATTGCAGTTCTCTTCCAATTCTCCAGACCTAACCATCCTTCACCTTTCTATCCACCTGCATAGTCTCAGAGCCATTTATCTACCCTGCAAATCTGACTGCAGTACTTTCTGTGCAACACCCATTGTGATAGAATGTAGCCTTAACATGTCACATAGTGCCTAGCAAATCATGTAGGCTCTCCAGCCTCACTGTCCACCCCATTGTTCACACTCTGTGATCAGTCTCACATAGGAATTGAGTAGTAATTCGAATTAGTGCTCAATGGTGCTTTCTGTTATTCATGGGTAGCGCAGCAAAAGCAGAGTTGCATATTAGATTCCTAAAGCTGCTCCTACAGGCCTTTGACTACTTTGATCAGCAAGGGAGAGCAATGGATTCAATTCCAAATGACTACTAAACCTGTTAACATTGGTAGACATCTTTTTATACACTTGTTCTCAATTTGATTTATATCAACAATATATTAAAATCTGTTCAGTATATTTTCAAGAATCATTGTGTACTTGGAATTGAAGGAGTAGGGAAATGTTTCCCCTGCTCTCAGAAGTTCCCCTTTCTCATTTTTGCTGAATTTAAAAGAAATCCCATTATACCTCTTTGATACTCCATTCTCTAAACAAAGGACCA